ACCATTTGTTATTTTCTTCATTTGAAGGATAAGAAAACTGAGCTCTAAAGAGGTTAAGAAACATTCCCAACATCAGACATGTGGTTAGATGGTAGAGCTGGGATCAGAATCTAACTGGGCTAACTCCTAAGCCTCTGCTCCTAACCACCTCACTATTCAGTTGCACAGTTTATATATAATTATTTATTCAGCCATAGCCTTATTGTTGAAAAATCAGATACCCAGGAGTTTTTTTCACCACTACAGATAATGACACAATGAATATCTTTGTACCTACATTCTTATGTATCAGGGCAAATCCAAAAAGTAAAATCACTAGGCCAAAGGTTTACACATTTTTAATTTTAACAGAAATTACTAATTTTAAAACATTTATTAAAGCAGGTCTATCTTTCCCTTTTACAGTATCTGGATTTCCTATCTTACTAAAAAATGTCATCTCTATTCCAGTTATACAAATATTCTCATCTCTTCATATAGATATATATATTTAACTCATTTACAGTCCAGTTTTTGTGTATTTTATGAAGAGGGGATCTAGTTGGTTTTCTTATAAATGGATAGCAAATTATACTAGCATCATTTTTACATCCTTTTCCCACCAGGGTGAAATGTCACCCTTGTCACATTTTAAATTCCTTTGTCATTCGCAAGCTCCCTGCCTGTACTCAAACCAAATTACTTTTGATCTAAGTAAGTCTTGGGCTCATGTTTTTTCATCCACTTAAAACAGGCCTTTCCCAGCCCTGTAAATCCAAATCCTACCATCTGTTAAGGTCCAATACAAATGCCAGGACTACTTTAGTGTTTCTACCCTTCCTTCCTCTCATCCCTTGCTAGAGGCAATCACCCCCTCCTTTGAATGTCCACAATACTTTATCTGTACAGTACTTCTCTAACAATACCTCTCACTTTTAATATAGTTACATACAAGTCCTACCTCCCTTTTTAGGTGGTAACATTTTGATGGACTTGATCTATATCTACATCATTTTTATAGCACCCTTAGTACTTAGGACAGTGCCTCCAAACCATATTTGTTAGATGAATAACTGCACAACCTTCTTGATCCCTCCCCAGGATCTGTAGGTCTGCAACTAAGTGAAAATTGCTGCATTAAGACTAACTCCCTTATATGCAGAAAAGGGTAGCTTTGCCAAATAAAGGGGAATTTTTCTGTAATCGATGAATCAGAAAGTTAAAATAACTGAAATTTAAACTCGCATATACTGTACCATGTTTATATGAGAAAAAGTAAAAGACTATTAAATGAAGTAGTGTTGACTATTTTTTCAAAATAACAACTTCTAGACTATGATGGGTTTAATACAGATTCAGAACAATCTTCTACATATTTACATCCAAATCCTCTATGATGATAACCAATGTGCATAATAATGAAATTAGTGCAAGGTAAGATTAAATGCCTTATGAATCATCAAAGATACAATACAAACAGGACCATCTGTATTATAAGCAAAGTAGGTATTCACTATATTGCTAATTTCTTGGAGTGCTAGAAAGGTCCCCTGCCTGTCCCTAATCTTCTCAATCAGTGAGCTATCACCTAAAAATTTATCATGAATATTCACAGTTTTCATTTAAGAGTCTAAACCAGTGGTTCTCAACCATGGGCCGTTTTGCTTGCCAAGGGACATTTGGCAGTATCTGCAGACATTTTTGGTTGTCACTACTGAGCAGGGAGGGATTTCTACTAGCACTGAGTGGACCACATGCCAGGGATACTACTAAACATCATACAATGCCCAACACAGCCCCACACAACATAGGATCATCTGGCCCAAATGTCAATAGTGCCAAGGCTGAGAAACTCTGGTCTATACTCTGCTAAAATGCAAAAGCACGTTGTTTTCAATTTAATGTGTAACGTAGCAAGCCCTCCACTTCAATCCAATCCAATCAAGCCTTTTTTCCTTTTACTCCTCCTCCACACTGCCAAATCCAGGGGTTACTAATTTATCCTCAACTTATACAACTCCCCAGCAGCATTTATTTGACTCAGCTAGTTGGTTACTCCCTCCTTAAAACACTTCTTTCTCTTGACTCTCTTTTTATCTCAGTTCCCTGATTTTCTTTCTGCTTTAATGGGCACACCTTCCAGGCTATTTTGTTAACTCTTCAATGCTGTTCAGTATTTAATGTTGCAATGGCCCTTTTCTTTCCTTTGTTATCCTCATCTGTTTTCCAGAGATGATGTCAGCCAGAACCATGGCTTTAACCTCCATGGTAACCTTTAACATAACCTCTATACTTAGCGGCATTTTTTAATGCTGATAACAATAATATTTATTTATAACTCCAGTCCTGACCTCCCCACTGAGCTTCAGAATTATCTAGCCAACTTGTTAGCTCCACTCGGATGTCAGTCTCTATAACTTAATATGTCCAAAACAGAACTCTTGATGCATAAATTATTATTATTGTAATCAAAACACATACTCGGTAAAATGTTAACAACTGAGGAATCTGGGTTCAAGTCTTACAACTTTTATGTAAATCTGAAATTATTTCAAAATAAAAAGTGAAACAAATAAACAAAAACACATGGTTCCCAACAGTCCACATTCTGTTCTTCCCTCTTTCTGTAAACTGCACCACCAGTTCCTCATAAAAAATATCTAGATATCATCATTAATTCATCTTTGCCACATCTAATCCACCAGCAAGTTCAAGATGCTCTACTGAAAAATGTATTCCAAATCAGGCCACTTCTCTCCATTCTCCATTGTTACCAGCTTCCTAACTGGTCTCCCTGTTACCACCCTTGCCTCCTATATTAGTTTCCTATGGCTGCCAAAACAAATTACTACAAACCAGGTAGCTTAAAAAACAGAAATGTATTGTTTCACAGTTCTAGGGTTTAAGTCTGAAATCAAGGTGTCAGCAGGGCGATGATCTCTCTGAAATCCCTAGGGGAGGATCCTTCCTTACCTCTTCCTAACTTGTGGTGGTTGCTGGCAATCTTCAGTGTTCCCTAGCTTGCAGATGCATACTCCAGTCTCTCCCTCCATCTTCACACAGTAGCCTCTCTGTATGTCTTGTCTGTGTTCAAATTTCCCTCTTTATTATAAAGACACGAGTCAGCAGATTAGGACCCACCCTAATTCAGTATGACTTCATCTTAACTTGATTACATCTGCAAAGACCCTATTTCCAAATAAATTCACACTCACGAGGTTCCAGGGGTTAGAACTTCAACATATCCTTTAGGGGAACACAATTCAGCCCATAACATCCCCTATAATCAATTTTCCACACAACAGCCATAATGATCTTCACGAATGTGCATCAGGCCCTATCACTCTCCTTCCTATCACCCTCCTGTGTCGTCCTCTTCCTGCCTCTCAAACATACATCTCTAGCCACATGGGCCTTCCTTCTGTCTGTCCAACACACCACTCATCCCTGCCTCAGGACCTCTGCCTGGAATTTTGGTGTGACTTCTTCCTCATCATTTCAAGTCACCACTCAAGTGTTACTTCCTAACACAAGTTTACTCTGATCATCTACCTAAGCAGCACATTCCATAGGTATTCTCTTTCATATAATCCGAGTTTCTAAGCAGCATTTGCCAGTACCAGAAAGTATCTTATTTATTTGTTATTTAAGTAACCCCCCTTATTTGAACATAAGCTCTACTGAGCCAGATTCCATTATTATAGCCCCAGAGACTAAACCAGCGCCTTACAAGTATTTTTCATTTTTATTTACTCAAATATGTCTTTTTCTTTGATGATACAAGGATTTCCTATATTACTCACAAAGATTAATTATACCCTTAAATAAGTTTTCTTGTATTTTTTCTCTTTTTTGTGGGTGATTAGTTAAATCTTTAATCCATTTGGAATTAATCTTTGTATACTTGAGAAACAGGAGTCACGTCAGATGATTCCAATGCAAAAAGTCTGCAATAACTCTGACCTATTGGATAAAGCTCAAACACTTCTTCAGAACACATGCAACGTTCCCTGAACTGACTGCCTCTGTCCCTCCACCGTACCAATCTCCTGCTGATGATTGCATCCTGTCCTGTCCTCTGACTACACCAAAAAGTCCTAATGGATCATCAAGAAGAATTATGCTTCAAATGCACTTCTCCATCTGCCTGAACTCCTATAAATCCTTAAAACCCCAGTTCTAATGTCACCTCTCTTGGAAAGCCTTTCCTGTTGAACCCTAGAGTTCCTCACTTCCTTCTTTATACCTCCACTTTTACATCCCTCTACTCTATAATATACAGTACCTGCTTCATAAATATATAAAGTATTTAGACTAGTGTCTAGCACACAATAAATGCTAAGTAAATGTTAACTACTATTTTATTACCACAATAGGTTGCAAGTATTTGTGTAATCTACCTTGCTAGACCAAGAGGGACAGAGGGCAGAGACCTATTTATTTGCCATTTTACCAAACCCACTGGTCTGGCACATATCAAGCACTAATAAGTACTAAACAAATTAATAAACAACACCTCAATGCTGGACCAAAGTAATTTTCTTTGAAACTGTGGATTCCTTATATTTAAAAAAAAAAGAAGAAGAAGAAGAAAGAAACTTTTAAGATGAAAAATAAGCCTGCCCTTCCTGCTTTTTGATTTAGTTCAAATTCGAGGAGTTAGGGGAGAGTTCAGCTTTAAGCGCATCCAGAAAGACAATTCTAGGTGCTCTATGACTACCACTGTATAATCCATTATACTGGAAATGAAAACAATGCCATCTTTAAAAGGGAGAGGGAAATTTAAAACGTCTTGTCTTATTTTGAACGCAGTCAGACGTGTCTTAACCTCAGGTGAATTCATAACCTCCCATGCGCCTGGCCCCGAACCTCACGTAAGGAAACTTATCAGCTTCTCCGATAAAACAATCCGATAAGGTCAACTCCGGGATGAAGAAGCCGCACGGGTGGAAACGCTGGGGCTGCCCTCTCCAAGAGGAGTCTCGGTCCATACCAACCTCGGAGAAACACAGCATTCTTACCCTGGGGTACGACAGGATTCCTCAGCTCGGGTATCCCCTAAGCCAGCGCTGCAGAGAATGAGCACTCCGCCCTGCGTTAGTCAGTGGCTGCAAGGAACTGAGATGACCACAGCCCACGGGAGAAGAGGCGGAGAGAAGCTTCAAGCGGGAAAAACGAAGTGTACAGATGCTACGTGCGGAGAAAAGGAGAAAGAAAAGCAGCTGGAGGGTAGCTAAGTCAGGAACACCGCCACTTCTCACTTAGCGCCACCCTGAATTTTGGCACCTAATGACTACACCCGCCGAGTTCACGCTCTTCTTCCCGCTCCCTTGCGGGCCAAGCCACCGCCCACCCGCTGGAGAGCCGCGCGGGTGGCAGGAGGGAGCGACCGCCGCCTCCCGTACTCACCGGTTCTCGGTGCCGTCACTTCTGCGCGGAAAGGCCCGGTCTGAGGCCAGGTCTTCGGAGTCAGCTCCCGGGAGGCCGCGACGTTCGATTTCTCCCCTCCCCCCACCCACCACCACGAGACCGCCAACCGGCGTCCCGGCTTCCGTAGGCGGACGGCTTGGTGGCCCCGGATGTTGATATGCCGCCTGCCCCGGAAACAGTGGCGGGAGTCCCAAGGGGGTGGAGGTGGCGTTGCCCGGCTCTCCGGAAGGAGACGTGGCGGCGGTTGGGCCCCGGGCTGCCTGGGTGCTTAGTAGTCCCGCCGCCTCCTCCTCCTCCTCCCCCTCCTCTCCTCTATGGGCAGAGGAGGTTGTGGCGGTGGCTGGAGAAATCGGCAGCGGAGGATGGAGGAAGGAGGAGGCGGCGCGCGTAGTCTGGTCCCAGGCGGGCCGGTGTTATTGGTCCTCTGCGGCCTCCTAGAGGCGTCCGGTGGCGGCCGAGCGCTCCCCCAGCTCAGCGATGACATCCCTTTCCGAGTCAACTGGCCCGGCACCGAGTTCTCTCTGGTCAGTGCCCTCGCGAATCCTAGCCATCTCTCTCTCCTAGCACTAGGGTTTGGCCCCTTCCCTCGGTACCTGCGCTTTTCTCCTCCAGAACCACCTCGGCCGGCGAATGCGTCCTTTCCCTAATCCAAAGGTTCATTTACCTCGCATTCATTCATTCATACAGCAAGTGTTTAGCGAACACATTATGTGGTTGTGCCCTCCATGCTAAGCATTGAGGATCCAGCGGTCACCTGCTCTCCGCCTTTTAAATTTGTCTCGTTAGACATTGCTTACCAACACTCCCACCCCGTGGAAGAAGCTTTCTTAGAATCACGTCAGGCACAGGTATTTATCTTCTCTTTAGAGAGTCAGCTGCAGGTCTTCCTCCACCAGCCGCCTTCTCTCTTTCAGTATTACTACCCTACCCACACAGCCGGTTGTACTGCAGATAGGAGTTCCCTCTCGCATACTAGTCATTTCTGTCTTGTATACACACACGTGTATATGTACATACTCACAGCTCTTTCTCCTTCAGAGTTGTTTCCGAGAGGGTTATTTGGCCTTTGAGATGTTAATGACATTCTATTCAGAATAACCTTTAGGGTGCTGATATTACGACTGTTATTTAAAACCCCAGAACATGAGATTCTGTGATCCGTTTTCCTAGAGTGATGAACATTTTTATAACTTTACAGTAATGAAAATTTGCGATCCTCTGTCTTTAGGAAGTACTCTGCTGAAAAGTCTTCCTACCACTGTAGGCCAATAAAAAACTGTGCACTTAAGATGCTTACCGTGTAGTAGTTAATTTATTTATTTCAAACTGAAGTCTTGGAAAATACAAAAGCTTTTTTAAAATTCTTATTCCAGTTACCTGTAGTCATTCCATTTGGGATGACTGTTTTGTTCTATTACCATATTGTTCTATTACTACTTCATTGAAACGAGAATAAGTGATAGCATGATGTCAAAGCAAGATTTAGCAGGACAACAGATGTTATGGTTACCACAACAGCTTTCTATTTACAAATGTTAGTTTTTGCAAATATTTCACACTTGTTTATTTCTCTACTCCTCTTCTTTTCAATTCTCCTATTCTTGTAGTTCAGTGGTACTCAACATTATCTAAGTAAATATTTCTCTGAGAAGCCAGGTTTATCTTTGTATGAATGCCATGAAATATTGTTATATTAAAATACTTAGAGGGCATCTGGGTGGCTCAGTCGGTTAAGCAGCTTCTTCGGCTGGGGTCATGATCCCAGAATTCTGGGATCAAGTCCCGAGTCGGGCTCCCTGGTTAGTGGGCAGTCTGCTTCTGTCTCTCCCTCCGCCCCTCCTCACTGCTTGTGCTCTCTCTTTCTCTCTCAAATAAATAAATAAAATCTTTTAAAAAAATAAAATAAAATACTTATATAAAAGTTTGTTATAAGTGAGATATAACTTTAGCAGTCTTGAAGTGAGAATAATTTAGTCCAACCTCTGTTATCTTTCAAAAGAGCACACAGAATAAACATAAGAAGTGTTTCAGAATGTTGTCATTAAAGTATTTTACTCTTGCACTTGTCAGGTTTTTTTGTTTGTTTGTTTGTTTTTTAAATTTTTTATTTATTTGCGAGAGAGAGAATAAGAGACAGAGAGCATGAGAGGGAGGAGGGTCAGAGGGAGAAGCAGACTCCCTGCTGAGCAGGGAGCCCGATGTGGGACTTGATCCCGGGACTCCAGGATCATGACCTGAGCCGAAGGCAGTCGCCCAACCAACCGAGCCACCCAGGCACCCCCAGGTTTTTTTTTTTTAAGATTTTATTTATTTGAGAAAGAGGCAGAGAGAACACAAGCAGGGGGAGGGGCAGACAGAGAGGCAGAGGGACTAGCAGACTCCTTGCTGAGCAGGAAGCCCAACTTGGGGCTCTATCCCAAGACCCCAAGATCTTAACCTGAGCTGAAGTCAGATACTTAACTGACGGAGCCACCCAGGCGCCCTGTTATTTTTTTGGTTTTTAATTTAAAAATTACATGCTGAGGGCGCCTGGGTGGCTCAGTTGGTTAAGCGACTACCTTCGGCTCAGGTCATGATCCTGGAGTCCTGGGATCAAGTCCCGCATCGGGCTCCCTGCTCAGCAGGGGGTCTGCTTCTCCCTCTGCCCTCTTGCTCTCTGTCTCTCATTCTCTCTCTCTCAAATAAATAAATAAAATCTTTAAAAAAAATAAAAATAAAAATTACATGCTGATATGCAACCCTGAAGACTTCCTGACTTACAAGTGGATAACTAAAACTGGCCTTTTTAGAGGTTACTACCAGATTGTTACTCTGTTTTCTTTCTGGCACTGGTGTTTGCTGGCTAAAAAAAGGTTATGGAAGATCTGTCTTAAATGTATCCTCTACGAACCTTTCACATATCTCTCAATTTTATTTTGAATTTTAATTTTTAATTCTCTTTGGCAATGTAACATAATCTAAGATGGGCACATCTGAAGTTTTTCTGAAGTTTTTTTTCTTTTTTTTTTTTTTTTTAAGTTATTTTGAGCGATGCCAGGGTGGCTCAGTCAGTTAAGTGTCCACCTTCAGCTCAGGTCATGATCCCAGGACCTGGGATTGAGTCCCTCATCCACATCGAGCTCCCTGCTTGTGCCCCCCTTCTTTCTCTCTGACAAATAAATAAATAAAATCTTTAATAAAAAAAATTTTTTTAAGTTATTTTGAGGAAAATCTAGAGACCTTTTTCTGTGATTTGGCAAAAGGTCTGTGGCCCTCATGCAAAAATAAACTGTAGGAGTCTTTATCATTGGCCTTTGGGTTTTGTTTTAGTACTTTTTAATCTTGAGGCTTCTCTTCCCTCCGTTTTGTAATTGACACTACAGCCCTCCTCACCTCGCACTGTCATTTTCTTTTATGGGCCAGTTGGTGGGACAAATATAACTAAGCAGCTGTATGAACTGGGATAAGTGCCTTTCTCTCTCTACTATCTGGAATTGGGAGAGACTAGATTGGAAGATGTGAATTTTTTTTTTTAGCTTTAAAATTCTTCTGTGCTTTAAATCATCTCCCCATTCAGATATATCAAACCAATATATAATCTTTATAATCTTGCTTTCAAATTTACTTAGAAAAGTTATTAAGCACCAAAACTGTGTATATTTTTTAATGTTTATGTTAACTAATTAATGACTATGATAGTCTTTGTTTACTGGTTTTTAGCATTCAGTTTTTTTGTGTGTATATATTTTTCTTCTGAAATACCATCTCTCTCATTAAACTGTTCAACTATTCATTACTTCACAGAGTTCACAGATTTCACCAAAGTAAAACCAAAGAATAAGTCCAATTTTCTCTTTACTTCTCTTGGAAATATATTCCCACTCAAAATCTTCCCATAGGGGTACCTGAGTGGCTCAGTCAGTTAAGCCTCCGACTCTTGATCTCAGCTTAGGTCTTGATCTCAGGGTCATGAGTTCAGGCCCTGCGTTGGGCTCTGAGCCTACTTTAAAAACAAAACAAAACAAAACAAAAACTTACCCCAAACACTATGCTTGGGAAGAATGGTAACCAACTCCATAGTTCCAAGCATGTTTGTTTGTTTTTTTTCCAAGCATGTTTATATATGCTGGGAAGTTGTACCACTGAGTTTATTTTACAGCTTCTCTCTTTTGTCTCTCATCCTCTATCTTAATTCTTCCAGACTCTTGTCAAACATTAAGAATTTCTCCCCTGCCAACATATTTTTTAAGTTCCTTAACCTTAAAGTACCATACCCCCTTGGCTTGGTTTCATTATATTAATATCTGACTTTAATCAAATCACTAATAGCACCTCTTACACTGAAAATACATTAAGGTATTATATGGAATTTTTTTACACTATCTGCAATTCTGTATATTCAGAATTTATTATATTTCATTTTCCTGAAGAACTGTTTTACTAAATCAAAAGGAAACATTTTTAGTAGCAGATCAAAAAAGTTTTTTAACTTAGAAAATCAGAAAAGGTTAACTTTTTCCCAGTAATTTCTTTATGAAAAAGAGGATAAAGTTTGTTAAAATTTTTAGTTTGTGTTCCCAATAAGTGACTCACTATTCCAGCAGTTTTCAGATAGAGGAATTGCTACTTGATCTGTTTTATTGAAGAGGAAAGCAACCCTTCCAAAACTAATGAAAGACAAATCTTTGCATCTTCAAACAAGTGATGGCTTTTATTTCTTGTTACCCTTTACCTAGATCTAAAAACAGTAGACAGAGTATAGCCAGGGCACAGGGGTGCAAAAGCACCTAGGTCTGGGGATTCCAAACAGACGAGGTTCAGCCACTCACAGCTGACAAAATCCAAACTCAGAGAAATGAATGGTGGTGAAACAAGAAAGGATTTAATTTCAATGAGGCCAGCACCCAGAACACAGCAGACTGGCGGCTCAAAGACTGTCTCCAAAGTGCTGAAAATACTTCCAGATTTATGTATGAAAAATATGGGCAAAGGTGGCGTGGGTATGTTCAGGGAGGCACTGAAGGTCAAATCAAACCTTGTCATGGAGTCAGTCATGGGGAGGCGTCTTGCTGGTTCAGGCAGTCCTTTTTACTTGAGGGAATAGTTTTGGTTCCCATCAGGGAATGCTTTGCCCCCTGGATCTTCCAGTCTGAGCCAAGAGACAAGCTGGAAGGAAGAACCCAACTAGGAAGTTTGAGGTCAAAATGGAGATAGCCGAAGTCCTTTTCCAGGAGGAATGAGTTTCTTATCATATAAACATAAAGCCCCAAGAGTGGTTTTTATTACAAAGGATTGGCTTCCTTTCTTTGCTGTGGTTCCAAGCAAGCAGTTCTTTTTCCATTGTTGGCATTGTGAATGTTTTAGTAAATAAGTCAATATTGCTGTGGAATTCAATTCTGAACATTAGAGTTGCAGGTACTTCACAAATAGAGGTAAATACTCTTAAGTCATATGCTACTGGTTGCCTTCGCTACTGTACAGGAATGATTTGGCAAGACTTCAGGCCAGCCATTGCTCAGCAAATGTGAGTCGTGCTTTGAACAACTCTGCACACATTCTGCATATATCTGAAAAACGGCGAAAGGCTTTGTAAATGTTACGTCTTATAGTAATTTGTTGGCACAACTGAATAAATGTTTCTAAGGATCTCTTTTTCATAAATTTGGTTTTGTAACTCTCGCTTTCAAGTCTCTTTGGTTCCCCTCTTCACTTACAGTGGTCTTTTAAATAAGGATCCTTCGTCATAATCCAGGAGCCTATATAGTAATCTAAAAAGATGTTAACAAATGCTGATGCAAATATGTTAAAACATATTATAAACATAAAACAGTTAAGAGTACACAAAATATGGAACCAGTCTGCTTGGATTCATCTCTGTACTGTGCTACTTACTAGCTGTGTTACCTTGTACAAATTTTTTTTAGAAGATTTTATTTACTTATTTGAAAGAGAAAGAGTGAGCAAGAGAGAACACAAGCAGGGGGAGCAGCAGAGGCAGAGGGAGAAGCAGGCTCCCCGCTGAGCAGGGAGCCCGATGAGGGGCTCAATCCCAGGGCCCTGGGATCATGACCTGAGCTGAAGGCAGACCCTTAGCCGACTGAGCCACCCAGGCGCCCCACCTCGTACAAATTAAGCTCTGGGCTTCAATTTCCTTTTCTGAAGATGGGTAGAATGTTTGTCTTAAAGATCGATGAGCTAAAAAATGTTAAGGACTTAAAACTGCAATACAGCTAATTACAGCTTGTATTTACTACTATTTTTTGTTTTGTTTTATTGTCTTGGAAAAACATTGCAATAATTTGCATTTGTGTGTAAGATAACATTGGATCAAGTAGTACTTGTTTTATTATGGTTATGAGTCCTTCTTGTTAAATTGAGAAAAGAACAGTTACTTAATAAGAGTGGTTCTTTCTTCATGAGGGATGGCCAAATAGTATAGTGGTTTCACAGTATCGTAAGATGAGAAGTTAAGAGTTGAATTATCATGGGGCGCCTGGGTGGCTCAGTCATTAAGCATCTGCCTTCAGCTCAGGTCTGAATCCCAGGGTCCTGGGATTCAGCCCCGCATCAGGCTCCCTGCCCCGCAGAAAGCCTGCTTTTCCCTCCCCCCCCCCCCCGCTTGTGTTCCCTCTCTCACTATGTCTCTCTCTGTCAAATAAATAAATAAAATATTTTTTTAAAAAAGTTAGATCTCACAGAACACATATCATAGAATATGAAAACTTCTGTCTTAGTAGTGACACATCTGCTATAACACAGCAAAGATTTCTGTTTAGTTAAATAATATGAGTTATATTGATTGAAATGTTCATTTGAATTACATTGGTTCATATTTGGTTTGTGAATTTGTTTGGTTTTATATTAAGCTTTAAAGATAGTTTTGTTGGGGCGCCTGGGTGGCTCAGTCATTAAGCGTCTGCCTTCGGCTCAGGTCGTGATCACAGGGTCCTGGGATCGAGCCCCGCATGGGGCTCCCTGCTCAGCCAGGAGCCTGCTTCTCCCTCTCCCACTCCCCCTGCTTGTGTTCCCTCTCTCGCTGTCTCTCTCTCTCTCTCTCTGTGTCGAATAAATAAATAAGAATTTAAAAATAAATAAATAAATAAATAAAATATAAAGATAGTTTTGTTGATACATAGCGGGAATGGGCAAACTTCACCTTTGGGTTGGCCAACCACCTATTTTTGTAAATAAAGTTTTTTCAGGACACAGCCATACCTGTTAATTTTCCTCTTGCCTATGCAATGTCTTACTAGAATGGATGGTTGAATAGTTGCAACAGAAATCATATGGCCCACAAAACCTCAAATATTTACTACCTGGCCCTTTACAGAAAGAGTTTGCTGACCTAGGATGTATACTAAAAAAAAAAAGTTAAGTCAGCACAGAGGATCCTTAGGGATTTTTCTTTTTCTTTTCTTTTTTTTTTTTTTTTAAGATTTTATTCATTTATTAGAGAGAGCACATGCGCACAAGCTGGGGAGAGAGGCAGACGGAGAGGGAGAGAGAGAAACAGGCTCCCCACTGAGCAGGAAGGCCAATGTCAGGCTCGATCCCAGGACCCTACGACCATGATCTGAGCCAAAGGCAGAGGCTTAACCGACTGAGTCACCTAGGCACCCCTAGGAATTTTTCTTTTAAAAGTAATTTATCCAAATATGAAAAATAATGCACTATTATTATGTTCAAGTGTCCCATCCAACAGAATTGAGAGTACATTTATAAAATGCTATTGACTATCACAGATAGGTGGTAATTGTTAATAGGAGTAATAAGTATTCAGTAATGGTGTATCTATGAACGTTCGTTGCCTCAATGCTTTTTTTTTTTTAAGATTTATTAATTATTTGAGAGAGAGAGCTTTGGGGGGGGACAGGGGGTGCAGAGGGAGAAGAAGAAAAACCCAAGCAGACTCTGCCCTGAGCATGGAGCCCTTTGCGGGGCTCGATTTCACCACCCTGAGCCAAAACCAAGAGTCAGACGCATAACGCACTGTGCCTCCAAGGTGCCCCGCCTCTTAACACTTTTTAATCCCTATTTCAACTTAAGTCTGTTGCATTACTACTTTTTTTCTTTATACTCCAAATTTCATTTGTGTTCATTTTTTTTTCTGTTATAACATCAAGATAAAGCTTATCATCCTTATTTTGATCTTAAATAACCTGTAGAATCCTTTCCCCTGCCTTAGGAAATACGTTTAAAAATCCTCTGTTGACATGATGAATTACTTTGACCTAAGACTGTAATTTATTCAATGTAATACAACTTAACCAAAAAAAAAAATGTATATTTTTGTTCTATTTCTAGCCTACAACTGGAGTTTTGTATAAAGAGGATAATTATGTCATCATGACAACTACACATAAAGAAAAATATAAATGCATTCTGCCCCTTGTGACAAGTGGGGATGAGGTAACTTTTTATAAATATATCTGTAATCCTTGTCACCAGAGATATGTATTTAAAACACTGTAAATACATACTTTAAAATAAAACTGAATGACAAGGTTCTCAATAACCCTGTTTATCATAAAAGTAGTAATCACTTTTATTATTCTTGAATTCTTTGATTTTACAGTTCAACTTAGAAAACTTAGCAACGAATTAGTCATAGTTTTAATGAAAATCTAATTCCACGCTTGCTTTCTTTAACAGAAATGGGGGTTTTGAAGCAGGATATAATTTTTAAATATATATGTGAAATTTTTTTATAAAGAATTTCTAAAAATAAATCTATAGGTACCTGTGCTTTTTCCCTACCTTAGCCCATGCCCCTTTCTTCCTCCCAAAATGCCCTAACTGCCTCTTATCCATCCTTCAAGGCAATGACTTCTTTCAAGATGAAACAGGAGAGTCAGCATGGTAAAATGAAAAGGACACCAGCCTAGGAGCCAGGAGGCTGAGGTATAGGCTACAGTTAGCTGTGGAACCTTGAACAGATTTGAAACTCAGTTCTTCCACTCAATAAATTATTGAGCTATTTATGTAATACTTTCACAGTCTGTAAAATGGAAATACTACGAACTCAGTGAGTGCTTTCTTAGGTTTTGTTCAGATGTGAAATCTGTGAAAGATAGCTCTCTGTTTCATTTTGTTTTAAACCTTCTTAAGACACAAATATACATGTGTGCAATCATATGCATATGCATATGGCATTCAAGTCTGAAATGTAAAAATATATAGGAAACTGGGATGTACCTTAAAACTTTTCTATACCTTCTATAAGATTCAACTATTCTGAGGCTTTCATAGTTAGAATTTGTTCAGATGCAAGTATTTAAAACTTCTGAAATAGGTTCATAAGAATTGTTCAGGAAACTGATACTCAGAAACCTTTTTTTAAGAGAAGAGAGAATGGAAGATTATTCTATGGCTCCATATTTTATACTTAAATTCTTTTGAAAGAAGTGGCAAACCATAGGATCTTTTTAAAAGTTTTGACTTTTTTTCCCCTTTTATTTCCAAGCATTTGTGATTTGAACAATGAGTTAATATCCAGACAGAAGAGTTGGGTGAAGTTCTAGAATAACTGTAAGTATTAAATCCTAGTTCTTTCATAGGAAGAAGAAAAGGATTATAAAGGCCCTAATCCAAGAGAGCTATTGGAGCCATTATTTAAACAAAGCAGTTGTTCCTACAGAGTACGTATTTTATGTTCACTTAATAAGTAGAAAATAAATTTCTAGTGGCCAATAGACCCTTGAAAATAACTCTGCATTCCTTTTTACTTTATTATGTTATATCAAATTTTAAGTTAGTTGTAAACCAAAGCTATTGCTTAATAGTATTTTGTTCATTTAAATTCCCGTGTGGTAGATGAAACAAACACCCAGTAACACCAGTTTCAAATAATATCACTTCCCAAATTGTTCTGAATGATTTTCAGATCAAAGGAAAGCTTCCTTATATACAATTTTACTAAGAAATGCTAATTGTTATTTCTTAGACTATGTATAAAATGGTCCCTAAGCCAGGTGGTTAATACAGATCCCAGGCGTAGTCTAGACCTGTTTTCTTCACAGAATTTTCACAAACAGCTAATTAGTGAAAATAGGGACTAGGCTTCAGAAATTTCATATTTTTCTGAGGTGTAATAAAGTTTCATTTAATGAAAGCTTACTCTAAATCTTGAGGGAAATCTACTCAACTACATAAAATATCAAAAAGTAATTCAGTGGAGTTATATGGCTTTTGTATGTTTAAATACATCCATTTTTCTTAGATTGAGTCTTACTGGACTTATGAGGTATGTCACGGAAAACACATTCGACAATACCATGAAGAGAAAGAAAGTGGTCAGGTATGTTTTTCTTCAAAATATGAAGGGTGGAACATTATACAATGAGAACTTTAATAATGAGATTGATAATTTTAAAGTTGTATTCTTGGTATTTGCAAAATACTTATTATATTTTTATTTTATTCCAATATAGAAAGTAAATATTCACGAGTACTACCTTGGGAATATGTTGGCTAAGAACCTTCTATCTGAAAAAGGTTTGTTTCTACAGAGTGATTTGATAGTAATGCTGGAATTTCGTTGAAAGTATTTATGTTCAAATTGGAATTTAAAAGATCTTATAGGAGACTGTATGCATTTTAAAACACTAAAATAAATTTCTGAACAATCCCTTAGAAAACTTTTTCAAAGAGATCTTTTCATTATTTTCTACATCAACAAACATTATGCTTTTTGTCTACATATTAATAAATTTTTTAAAATCTGGTAAGATAACACATGTTAGTGTTATATTTATATAGTGTTAATGTTAGTCTTTTGCTTGCTGTAAGCATAGTTGTTATACATGGAAATAGAAATGTAGATGTGTCCCTAAAATTGTGAAATATTTTTGTTAATCTATGTTATTCAGAGTCAGCTAATTTAAGATTAAAATTCTCACTGATATAAAAATACTTCAAAAGAAAATTGTTGTGGCCAGTTTTATGCCTCAAATAAAGTATTTCATAGGTAAAGATGTAAGGATTAAATTTGTCCTTTCAAACAAAACCATTTCAAGGCAACTAGCTAAAAGTAGTAAGATAAAAATTATATGTATGTTTTGGATCTTCTTTAGAAAGAAATTTAAAATTACAAAATTGAAAACGTAATCATTTGTATTTTATATATAAGTCACTGGTCATTCTTTACACCTACCTTACATAGGTAATATCTTATATTATTCCACAGATGAAGAGGCAGATGAAAACGAAAAATCAAAAGAGGCAAGTGACAAGTGTTGATTTTTTTTGCTTTTAACATCTATTATTAGTGAGGCATGAATTTATACTACTTAAATGACAGAATTTAGTCCTGTGTTCTTTAACTGTCTATCAAATACCTCAGAGGATTGGGCCAAAGATAATTTGCAGTATGTTAGATTTTTCTGAGAACAGTTATACTGTGATACTTTTATTTACTTTTAGGATCATAGGAAAATTAAGGAACTTAGCAAAGATGTGTCTGGGAAAGTTTTCATAATGGCAGTGTATCACTTCCGGTCTTAGCAGTGGTTCCCTCTGTTTAACATTGGAAACAATTATAAATAAGAGCTTTTGCTTTTTCCCCCTAGTTTGGCCCCTATCTCCCCTAGGTAAAACAGATAAACTACGTATGTAAATAAGCTACCAGACTGCAAGCATCTTCAAAGCAGGGACTGTCTTTTATCTCTTTACCCTGCAGTGCAAAGCAGAGTGCCAGATATAATATAGGCACTTCATAAGTGTGTACTGAATGTGAATGCATAATTGATGACTGAAAAATAAGATTGTTTAAAAAGAATGATTCCTTAGGGTTCCTAGTCACAATTTTTAAATGCCCCAGTAGTTCAAGGAATGCTTTCTGAATCCTAAGAACTCCTATAGAGTTAAATAACCTATTGATAGAGGATATTTCTGTAAGTGGTTTTATATCATAATGATAATTTTATCAGAAGAAAAGTGAAATGGCAAAAGGCCTTAAAAGGGTGGCTTTGGGGGGAATTGATAAGCTAAGCATAGACACACATAGCATTGCTATTTTAAAAGATTTTAATTTTACAGACTACCTTTGAGATAAAATATTTATTTACTGTGGCTCTGGAGGATAGCAAGATGGAATTCAAAGTGTGAAATGATAAAGGAAGAGGAAGAAAAGGGTAAGGGAAGAAAACTAACATTTACTGAGCCCCAATTTATAAGCCAGATACTGTGCCAGGCATGTAACAAAAGGTAATGCTTAATTTCCCCCACAACCTCTGAGTATATATTATTATTCTCTTTTTACAAATGACAAAAACTGAAATTTGGTCACAGTCAGAAAGCCAGTAAATTCAAAGCTTGACTTTGAACCCAGGATTTTCTAATTCTGGATAACTAGCATGAAAATAGCATACAAGAAACCTCAAAATATTTTTTCCTGGAAACATTTGTTTATTGCCTGTTTTACACATGGCACTGACAGGGTACCAAAGTGATACAAGATGAGCTCCCTGCCTCCAAAGAGCTTGCTTGGAGATATTATTAACAATATTTTTTTAGAGCCCTTATATTAGATTTTTCTTTGGTTTATGTAGATGAAATATGAGAGCTAGCTCCTTAATAATCCTTGTCTTTTGAGGTGATCTATTTTATTCCCCCATTCCATGAAAATTTCTTCATTTGTCCTTTGCTGGGCTTGAATAGATTTATATAGGAGTTTATGTTGAAAAGTATGGCTTTTAATATTAATGACAGGGAAAAAGAATAAGCAGATTAATGAATGAGTACAATATTAAGATTCCTGTTTTAGAAGATAGTGTTTTACTATGTAGCCCCACTTTTTGACAAATCAGACTTCAAACCTCTAGAATCTAAAGTATAACATAGCCATTCACTGAGAATTCAGTCTAGAAAATTCTGACTAGTCCAGTATAGTAAGTTCCTGTATTTTATCTTAATCTCTTTCATTAGAACTGTTAGAAATAGGGCGCCTGGGTGGCTCAGTTGGTTAAGCGACTGCCTTTGGCTCAGGTCATGATCCTGGAGTCCCTGGATCGAGTCCCACATTGGGCTCCCTACTTGGCAGGGAGTCGGCTTCGCCCTCTGACCCTCCCCCCTCTCATGTGCACTCTCTGTCTCTCAAATAAATAAATAAAATCTTAAAAAAAAAAAAAACTGTTAGAAATAATTCATATTAATCAAGAGATTATATCCTTTTATATAAATATACACTTAACATCTTAATTTTAGCACCAAATAAAATTTCCTTTTTTCGCTATATAAAACTGCTCTGAAAATAAGTATTAGCTTAAATAAGAACTTAGGAATCAAAAGAATGTTAGAGGAAAAGTTTATAGAAAATACAGAAATGTTACCTTTATAAAGGTTGGTTTTATTTAAAATGTAGTTTTTTTCCTTTAAGAATAAGTGTTTCTCCCATCCTCACCCCTACCTCCATTTCTAATGAAAAGTCTGTCTGAAACTCTTTTTTTTTTAAGATTCCCACTAAAAATATCGAAGGTCAGATGACACCCTACTATCCTGTGGGAATGGGAAATGGTACACCTTGTAGTTTGAAACAGAACCGGCCCAGATCAAGTACGGTGATGTACATATGTCATCCTGAATCTAAGCATGAAATTCTTTCAGTAGCTGAAGTTACAACTTGTGAATATGAAGTTGTCATTTTGACACCACTCTTGTGCAATCATCCTAAATATAGGTAGGATGTGGATTTAATATTTTAAACATGAAGCGCACACATGCTTTAAAGTGTCATATGCTTAGCTTTAATGCTTTGTTCTTACTGAATAGATTCAGAGCGTCCCCTGTGAATGACATATTTTGCCAGTCACTGCCAGGATCACCATTTAAACCCCTCACCCTGAGGCAATTGGAACAGCAGGAAGAAATACTAAGGGTGCCTTTCAGGAGAAATAAAGAGGTATGTGAATTATGTAACAGTATTTTCTCAGTGCTTCCTTTTCCAAATTTAAGAGCATGTATCAGTATTTTAATCATTCCTGTAGCATAGTAGTAGTAATTTATTTTTCTGACTCAAATTTTAAGTTCCAATTTTTTAACTGATTTTAATTATTTTCCTTATTCTTGTACTTCTCAGAAACTATTTTATCATTCTCTTACTCTCATGATTTCATATTTTAAAGTGTGACATCCTATTCATTGTAGTTAAGTTGATTTTTTAGGTAGTTGACTGGCCTTCCCAGCTGAGCCCCTTGAAAAAATAAACTACAACTCATCTTCTAATGCTTTATTTCTTCTTCAACCCATTGCTGTATGTCATCAAACCATCATTCTTCTGAAACTTCTTATTCAGGTCAACAGCAATCTTTTGGTTCTAAGTCCACTGGACATATACATAACTTGATCTTAGCACATAAAACACTGAACATGTGAAGCTTGAACTTTCTCTACTGCCTTTACTTGAAGTCATTCTCTCTGGTTCTCTCTGTTCTCCTGTCCTGTGTATTAGGTCTTTGTCTACTTCCTGCCCTGAAAATGTTGACGTTCCCCACAGTTCTAGCCATAGTTGCCTTCTCTCTGTAGTGTGTATAGTCTCAAGTGAGCTCATCCAGGCCCATTCTGTTAACTTCATTAATATGCCCATGAGTTTCAAATACACATCTTCAACGTTGACCTTTCCCCTGAACTCAAACCACAGTCACAATAGTTAACATGGATTGAATATTAACAGCTGTTATCTAATCCTCACAAAAACCTACAAGAATATACTATTATCATCCTCCTTAACATGTTAGGAAATTGAGGTTCAGAGAAGGGAAGTGACAAGTGATGGATTACAGATGAAAATCAAAACAGTCTGGTTCTGGAACCTGTCCTCTTAACCACTTCTCTATGCTGCTTCTCCTTTTCCATGTGCTTTTTTCCCTTTTCCTCTGCTCATTGGACATAACCATATACATTTTCAGTAATCTCAAATTCATCTGTCTCACACTGACCTTTTCCTAATCTTCCCTGTTGTTGTTGTTTTTTATTTTCATTTATTTACCTATTTATTTTTGAGTAATCTCCACACCCAACGTGGAGCTTGAACTCACAATCCCAGGATCAAGAGTCGCATGCTCCCTACTGAGCCAGCCAGGTGCCCCTTCCCCATTGTTTTTAAAGCAGTGTTACTTCCTTTGCAAATGAGAGAGGACTTCTAATGAATTACCCCAGGAAGAGATCAAAGTTTCCGCTTTTTTGGTCTTGTATTTTACTCAGTCCTCCATTATAGCACTTACATGGCTAAAATTGGTTGATTTTCCTATGATTCTTACACTAAGATCAAGGAGAATATGCTATGCTTTTATTACTTTGAGGTTTCTAGTTCCTTGCATGATACCTGGTATACTGTGGGTACTTAGTAATGGTTTAATTAACTAATAACTAACATTTAGCTGCAAAGCCTGTTTCTCCCCTTTCTCTTCAGTACTTCTAGCAAAAGTATTGCCACATTCTTTGTGACTTTTGTGAACACTGCCATTCTGATAGGAAGGAAAAATTATCTTATTAATCTGCACTTGATTTGAAGTGCTCAATTAAAAGATTGGACATGGATTTTTCTACTGGTCTTCTCCCTGATAGTGATTTAAATACTGACAAGTACTTAAAAGTCAGCGCAATCAAAATGCTTCCCAAATCCCAACTTTAATTACTCTTCAGAGAAGAAATGGCAGCTTACTTTTCTCTAATTAATGTGTTTAATCTGCCGTTTGAGAAAAATTGTTTTTAAAAGCTACAGATGATAATACTTTCAAAATACTTAGGACCCTTAGAATACATGTTGTAGATGAAAACCTTAGGTAATACTGTAGGGTGAAAAGTTATTTAAAGTGACATTTTTCTCAGAATCCTTTCCTTTATAAATCTATTACGTATAACTTTTTTTAAAAAATTGGTATTTGTCATATGGTTTGCCTTTTAAATGTGGAATAAGCTTAACCATAAAGATAATGAATTTTTTTTCTGTTTTAAACAAAAATACAAATCTGGCTATCAGAATTTTGTTTTGATATTATACCTGTTACTTGTGTTCTGTTTGACATGAAATGGTTTATTAAGGGGACTTAGGACTGAAGCCTCTTGGGCTATGGCAAATAGACAACATGAAAAATTGATCTTCACAACTCCACCTCTTGTAAGACCTGCTTTTATAGCCCTAGAGGCTGGGAGTACACACTAGGGAACTACCCCAGAGAATGTTTAGGAATAGGTATGAGTACAGAAACTATTTGCTAGATAACCCACTAAATAAAGTCTTAATGAGGCTTTAAAAAAAAAAAGGGAGAGAAAAAGAATAGGTGTGAGTCATAGTCACTTCTTCAGCAGATCAAGGATGTTGTGCCTGGAGGGTGTACTTAAGGGCGTAGTTGAACAAAAGGACAGAATGGTGGGGGTGCTATACTCAAGAAGGCTTCAAGTAACAGAGGGGTCATCATGGCAGATTGGTCCAAGATGATGTTAGTCTAGCTGTCACATGTTACCCCTCAAATCCAGCTCTTAGAGTCTCATATGCCCACCTCTTCCATGATATTCCCTGAGCCATCAGAGAAGGGCTTTTTTGCAGTAAGGGCACTTTGGCTAGACAGTGTCCAAGTTGAATGCATAATCCACAGCAGCTGTAGAGACAGCAAGAAAAGAGACCTATGTTGACACAACTAAGAATGAGTAATAATTTTGCCACCATGTCCCCCAGACTTTAAACCAGTTTGATAACTACTGGGTTAAAGTGCGCACAGGACCATCTAATGCCTATATCTCTTTATGCATGTCTTTTAATGCATACGTGATACTGCCTGAATTAACAGTCGTATATATGCATCATTTGGTTTGAATGATAGCATAAGTGCCCCCTTGTGCTACGGTGAGTACATCCAAGGCCATTCTATTTTGTAATATGGCTTTTCACATCTTTGTCATCTCTGTGTTCATGAGTGGCAGGCTATGGTAACTATTGTTGAGGATCCTCTGGGTATAATTAATTGTCTATATGCCATATCACATCTTCTGTGCCTAAAGATGGTACAGATATTCCTGCTAAATGGTCATACCAATGAAAGACAGCATGGGTCCATCATGCCTTTAAATGGGGTAAATTTGCAGAGGCTGTTAGGGTGCTATCAGTGCTGTTATTATATTACATTAATTTGGAGATTACTAGACCATTAGGAATCCATTTTATGAATTTCCAAACCCTGCCACAAAAACTATCATCTTGCTTTTATTGGAATAATTTTTCTTAAAAATGCAAGGAGATGTTCTGTCCACAAGAAGCAATAATAAATGGTCATACTTCTATTCTTCCTACCTCTTCCCCTATCTGAGCTGGAGGTTTCAGTGTTTTTCCTCACTAACCTTACTATAGGTCTCATGCATTCTAAGTAATTAGTTTAGTCTGTTAGAGCTTACCTTAGGAGCAGTGACTATGTCTTCTTCATTTTTAATACTCAGCACTTAAAACAGTACCAGGAGTGTGGTATGTTCTGAATGTAGAAAGACTATACATAAAATCCAAAGTCCTTTCAAAAAATAGGATGTCATTTGGCAATCTTTGTTCTTCTGGAATATTGGAGGAGAGGAAGGGTAAGGTCATTGGTTTCTAGAGTAACCTTGCAGTGACTCCCACCAGCCAAAGTAGGAGAAAAGAACCACAGTGGAGCAATGGCGCCTACAGCAGGTGAAAGGAGGCATCGTGACCACTATACATTTACTAGGAACCCTTTTACTATTTAATTTCTTTAATTATGTTACTCAGTTTTAATTGGTATACTCCTTTAATTCTGATCTAGATTCATTTTCTCTCCTCACTGTCAAAACCCAGTTTACTTCTGGATTCTAACTCATTATCCTCTTTCGTAACTATTCTCTCCACCCACTTCTGCATTCCTTTAGAGTCTCTTCCTCTCTGGCTTGGGTTACTTCAACTCCCAATGTGGCTCCACCTCGGGATTTGTTCTTACTAGTCCTTCCCTGCCACTGCGACAGTATTACTTAAAATCTGATCAAAAACCTGATCCCATATTTTTGCCTAAAATCCTTAAGATGAGGGGCGCCTGGGTGGCTCAGTCAGTTAAGCGTCTGCCTTCGGCTCAGGTTGTGGTCCCAGGGTCCTGGGATCAAGTCCCACGTCTGGCTTCCTGCTCAGCGGGAAGTCTGCTTCTCCCTCTACCTCTCTCCACCGCCCCCCCTCCACCCCGGTCGCTCTTTCAAATAAATAAATAAAATCTTTAAAATTAAAAAACAAAATCCTTAAGATGATATCCAAACTTCTTAAAATTATGTAATTTTTTTACCAGTAAGTACCTGTTTATCTTTTTAGTTTTAAATATTATTCCACACCCCACGTCTTTGCTCCTATGTCTTCCTCAGGTTCACGTGCATATGTGCACACAGACACAAAACCTACAGACATTCACATACATCACAGATTATTCATGTTTCAAGAATCAAGGGTTTTCTCTCTGTGAAGTCTTCATGTTTCAATTCTTCATCAAAATCTCTGTGAATCACCAATCCCTCTGTGAATCTGCTGTTCTCTGTACCCTTTAGTGGGCATCTTTCTTTACCAACTTGCAGCGTCCTTCAGGACAACAACCAGATCCTGCTGCATTTTAATAATTATAATTAATATTCTTATTTACTCCCACTTAGCTCTTTACCCTGATTGTTATCTTTTCTTTACCCATAGTAACCACATTTTCCAGAACTAAATGTAGTGACAAAATCTAAGAAGTAGTGAAATAATAATATTTTAGTGCATTTCCTTTCAGTCTTTTTGGGGATTTTTTTTTTTTTTTGATACACACACAGAGATACACATGAAAAAAAAAATAATTTGGACCAACTGTGTGCTGTGTGTGTGTAAATATATAAAATATCTTCACTTGTTTTCACTTAACAGTATATCATTTTTTACATTCCTGTGTCATAAAGTAATCTTCTATAATATTATTTTAATTATCTCAAATATTCTATGGTGTAAAGTACCAAAATTTATTTAAATTATTTACTGGTGTGGATATTTTTGTTGTCCACAATTTTTTATTAACATGAAGAATGCCGCCCTGAATGTCATTGAAGCTAAATCTTTGCACCCATCGGTGGTGATTGTTTACTCTGGATAAATTTCTAGAAATAGGTCAAAGGTAAGCACATAACGAAGAGTTTTGCTATATACTGTCAACTTGTACTTGAGAAGAATTGTGGAATTTTACAGTCCCGTTAGAAATATTAAAAAAAAAAAAAAGGCAAGTGCTGATACATATTTGTGTATATTTCTTTGTATTTGTGTGTATATAATGTGTGTGTGTTTTCTAGGAAGGTAGAATACTACTTAGCTTAGGTACTTGCATTGGAGTAACTCTAGCTGCTATGATCAAAAAAAAAGAAAAATGAGGCAAAATATATGAAATGATAATTATCCCGGTGTGTTGAGAATGGCCATCATACCCCTAATTGGTAGATGGAACTATCATTTGTCTAGAGCTTTCTCTATTGTATTAAGTGTTGCAAATTCATTTTCTTAAAGCACATTAAAAATGAGTGGACTTTTATTTTCCAAATTTCCTTCAGTTTAAAAATAAAGTCCTAACTGAAAAAAAAAAAAAAAGTATGGTATAGAAACCCTTAAACATATGTGTTTAACTTTAGGAAGAGTTGCAATCAACTAAAGAAGAGAGATTTCCAGCAATCCACAAACCCATTGCTGTTGGTTCTCAGCCTATGCTCACTGTTGGAACAACCCACATATCCAAATTGACAGATGACCAACTCATAAAAGAGTTCCTTAGTGGTTCTTACTGCTTTCATGGGGTGAGAAGTGAACCTTTGGTTTCAATATTTATCTAACAGCTTTCACCTGTGTGTTATTTAGTCACGGGTCATCAGCAGCCCTGAAAAAAGATTTTGTCAATAGAGAAATGGCAGGTTTCTGGAAGCCTCCTAATGGACATTTTCTGTCTGCATCTTACTATAATCCATAATAGCCATTATCTTTTCTTTGCTCACAAGCTAAAACTTGACCTTTACTTGACAGAAAATACATATAACTAAGTCATGTGTGATTCTGGTTGATTGCTGGAATGGGCATCAAGGACTGTATATCCTCAAAAAAAAAAAAAAAAAGATTGTATAGCCTACATTTTAGTTATGTAGCAGTCACATTTAAAACTTGAGTTAATATCTACAAAGGTTAAATTTTGCCTCTAATAAACTATTAGTTCCAGTGGGAAATAGAGTCAGTGGAATTTTCATTTCATTTTCTTTTACCAAGGCAATACAGCAGTTATTCTCTGTATTTGTCTTTTTTAAATTATTATTTCTCAGTAATTTCTTTTTTCTTTTTATTATTGAAGTGCAGCTGACATACAATGTTATATTAGTTTCAGGTGTATATAATGTAGTGATTTGACAACTCTATACATTACTCAATGCACATCACGCTAAGTATAGTTAATCATCTTTCACCATATAACATTATTTCTCAGTAACTTTTTTTAATTTTCAACCATATTATTGCTATTACAGTTTTTCTAATTATATATATTTCTATTACTGTCATGTGGCAATACTGAGACAGACCCCAATCCCCCATTCTTTCTGTGTAACTTGATCTGTTTTCTTTCCTACAGGGCGTTGGTTGGTGGAAATATGAATTCTGCTATGGCAAACATGTACATCAATATCATGAGGTATAGAATAGCTTTCTATCATTCTACCACTAGATAGATTCAAGTTTTAAAATTCGTTTATGAAAAAAAACGAGGGGGGATGGCATTTTAATTATGAAATGACTTTAATATGAAAATATTCAAAGTGTCTCTGAGTTCTAGAAAATGGAAAACTTGGTTTTAACTAAGTCACTCATCTTAAAGTAACGTTTATTAACTCCTCAGATTCTCGTATTACTGTGTTTCTGGAGGAATAATAGGCTATTGTGACTAACCTCTAGCTTTGACTGAGAAATTAATCATTAAAATTCTTTTTTAAATTAATGAAGTGAATAGTAAGATAGTACGTTATGGCTCGAGGTAGGAAAATAGGGTAAATACAGCAAGTTTCTCACCTATAGAACATACCATATCATCCAAGTTTAAAATCAACTAAATTTTAAGATTATACACATTGGCTTTTTATTCTTCCTTTTATTTCTAATTTCATAAATCAGATAGCATTTTCTTCTACAACTTGAGCCAAACTGCCTAAATTCTGAACTTCAGGCTTCAATAAATTTGTCATAGTTGTACCTTGTTTGGTAGGGTAAACTGCTAGACGTTGAAGACAAATGTTAATTAATAAATATTCACCTGGCTGTTTTAAACAGCTCTTTTTATTTCCCCAAAGAAATAATATCTAGTAATTTAAAAATACTGTATTTACCCTCTTGAGATGTTATGAGTCAGTCTTAAATTCCAAGACAGATCATACCAGGAAAGATCATCAACTCAACCTTCTGCATTTAAATCATTCCAAATTTATGAGGCATCTGTAAACTAGGACATTTTATTTCTCTACTTAAACCTGAGAAATGCCATTTCACTCTTCTTCCCACTTCTTCTTGCTACTATGTAGAGGTTTCATTTATTTTTAATAATACTTATTAATAGAAAAAATATTATCTAAGTACAACCCAGATAATACCCAATGGCTTTTTTTTAAATTAAAGGAATATATTCCAGAAATTTAGAATGAACAGTAAAATTCTCCTCCACCATTGTCCTATTTCCTAAAAGTAATTGCTGTTAACATTTTCTTAGTTAACCCTCCACAAGAAAAAAAAAATGCATATACATAAATGTTAGTATAACTAGTAAATGCACTGTTCTGCACTTACTCTTTTCAATTAGTATCTTGGAGATCTTTCCGTGCCAGCAACAGCTGATCTCATTCTTTTCAGCAGGTACAGAGGATTATGTTTATACCCACAATGTATTTAGCCAGATCTCTCCTGACAGACCTTTGAATTATTTCCAGTTTTTGCTGTGATAGCATCTTAGGGAGCATTTATAAATAGTATTGGTAAACCTTTGTAAGTATATTCATAAGGCACATTTCTAGCAACAGACTTGCTAGGTCAAAATATATGCATACTGAATATTGCCTTCTAGGGACGCCTGGGTGGCTCAGTTGGTTAAGCATCTGCCTTCGGCTCAGGTCATGATCCCAGGGTCCTCAGGCTCCTTGCTCAGCGGGGAGCCTGCTTCTCCCTCTGCCTGCCGCTCCACCTGCTTGTGCTCTCTCTCTGACAAATAAATGAATAAAATCTTTTTTCTCTCTTTTTTTTATTAACATATAATGTATTATTTGTTTCAGGGGTACAGGTCTGTGATTTATCAGTCTTACACAATTCACAGCGCTCACCATAGCACATACCCTCCCCAATGTCTATCACCCAGCCACCCCATCCCTCCCACCTCCCTCCACTCCAGCAATCCTGTTTGTTTCCTGAGATTAAGAGTCTCTTATGGTTTATCTCCCTCTCTGATTTTGTCATTTCATTTTTCCCTCCCTTCCTGCATGATCCTCTGTCTTGTTTCTCAGATTCCTCATATCAGTGAGATCATGTGATAATTGTCTTTCTCTGATTGACTTATTTTGCTTAGCATAATACCCTCTAGTTCCATGCACATTGTTGCAAATGGCAAGATTGCATTTAAATAAATAAAATCTTTAAAAATATAGATATAAAAAAGAACATTGCCTTCCAAAAGGTTGTAAGTCATTCCCATTAACAATGACTTTAAAACACACACACACACACACACACACACACACTGACTTTTTCCCCATACACTTGCCAACACTAGGTTTTATCAGACAAAATGAGCCCAAGGTCATATAACCTAGAAGTTTCTGAGGGACTCTGCTAGGAGCTTTGGGAGATAAACAAATATTAGTAGCTAACAAATACAATACTCATTGTATACCAGACACTGTTCTAAGTATGCATATTAACTCGATCCTCATAACAACCCTAAGAGGTGACTATTGTTCTTCCAAGGTGAGGAAATAGAAGCAATGATTTAGTAACTTGCCTAAAACCACATAGGTAGTAAATGATGAAACCAGAATGCTAACGCAGGCAGTCTTGCTCCATATCCAGCCTTAAACACTTCACTATGCAACTTCAGTCCCTGTCTATCTAGTAACTTACAGTCTGGTTGCTAAAAGAATGTTAAATTGTTGTCTCTTGCCCTGGGCAGTAAGCCCTGCTAGCAGCAGTGTCTGCGTCTGTTTCATCTACCACTGTAAGGGTTTCTAATTCTACCCAACAGATGTATGCTAGTGCTCAGCAGTGCCTGGCATAAAATATGAAGAAGGAAAGGAAGACAGGAAGGAAGGGAGGGGAGAGGAAAGAAAAGAAGAGAGAAGGAAGGAAGTCCACATATAAGACAGCATAATAGTGTTTAAAAAAATTAACAGAATGGGGAAGGGGGTTTCTGAACAGACATCTTGACACAGAAATAAGCATGGTGTCAAATGAGTGTGTGAATACACGTATAATTTGCAGATTGGCATTTGTAAGAGTAGAAATAGGATGAAGATAGGCTCAGTGGGTCTGCAGGTAAGAGAGATAGGCCAGAGATTTAATTGAGAATCACGGTAGTGGGGCGCCTGGGTGGCTCAGTTGGTTAAGCATCTGACTCTTGATCTCAGCTCAGGTCTTGATCTCAGGGTCGTGAGTTCAAGCCCCGCATTGGGCTCCATGCTGGGTGTGGAGCCTACTTAAAAAAAAAAAGAAGAATCAGTAGTATGCAGGCATATCATTTAGGTATGAGAAATTAAACTCATTGGAAATGTAGAGGAAGAGTCTGAAGCCAAGAACATCTCCAGGAAAACAGTGGACAAAACCGATAGATGTAGGGGAGGAAGGAAATAAAAGAGTCAAAGATAACTGCATGTGGAGCTAGCTGACAAGAAAGTAGTTACATTGTTCAGAGAAACAAGGAACAAAGAAGATAATGAGCTCAAGTGTCTACTCATCAGGTTTGACTAGCGTTGTTTGACTAACATCTAAACACCTATCTGTGGGCGCCTGGTGGCTCAACTGTTACGTGTCTGCCTTCGGCTCAGGTCATGATCCCAGGGTCCTGGGATCGAGCCCCACATTGGGCTCCCTGCTCCACGGGAAGCCTGCTTCTCCCTCTCCCACTCCCCCTGCTTGTGTTCCCTCTCGCTGTGTCTCTCTCTGTCAGATAAATAAATAAAATCTTTAAAAAATAAACACCCATCTGCAGTGTGCAGGTGAAGATAAGGACTATAACTTATAGGCCATCAGGATAAATGTCTACTTGATGATATCAAGGATTCATCACAAATATTTTTTCCTATATTAGGACAAAGATAGTGGGAAGACCTCTGTGGTTGTGGGTACATGGAACCAAGAAGAGCATATTGAATGGGCTAAGAAGAATACTGCTAGAGCCTATCACCTTCAAGATGATGGTACCCAGTCAGTCAGGTAAAGATTAACCTTATTTGCCTTTGGTTCGGATTAGTAGAATATTTAAAACTCAGAATATTGAAAAGCATAAAATTTAAACACTTAAGTAAAATCTCTGGTCAGTTTTTTTCAGGGACATCTTTTAAATTAGTTTTCTTTTCTAAGGTAATAGTTAAGAACACAATTTCTGAAGGTGGTGGCGGGGGCGGGCCTGGATTCAAATGCTGGCTCTTCACTTACCACCTTGGGCAAATTACATCATCTTCTTAAGTCTCACTTTTCTTGTCTACTAGTATTTGCCTCAAAGGACTGTTAGGACTCTTAAACAATCAGGTATGTAACACATAGTGCGTGGCAACAGCATGCAGTAAGTTCTGGCCGCTGCCTTTAAAGCAGTGGTGGCATGATAATGAGAGTGCTGGTGGCTGGCCTTCGTGACAGACGCTGGCTCACTTCCAGCCAGTAGGTCTGAGGCTGTTAGAAAGCATTGCCTCTTCCATGTGTCCTCTTTACCTTTTTAAGTTAGTTAATTCTATGTAAATATACTCTAGCATTTCCCTTTGTTACTTTACCTCTAGGAGGTTATGATTGAAAATAAAGAGTGGCTTTCTGAAAAACTACCTCACAACTTCTTTGAGTTATATAGGTGTATCTTGTCACAGCAGAAATAAGTTAAGCTCTTATTTTCCAAGAATAACTAAGCTTTAGATTTTCTTGTAGTCCTCTTACCTGGCGAATTTTAAATTATTCATTCTTTCTCTTTCTTGGGTATTAACTTTGTCCTTCCTAGCACTGATGGCATTGAGAGACTCTGTTTTTAGAACGTGCTGACTTCAGGGCGCCTGGTTGGCTCAGTCCATAGAGCGTGGGACTCTCGATCTCAGGGTTGTGAGTTCGAGCCCCACGTTTGGTTAAAAATAAAATCTTAAAAAAATAGAATGTGTTGACTTCTTGGGCTGACCAGAATCAAAGTTAGCAAAATTAAGAGATGGGCATTTAAGTATTAGAATATACTAAACAGATGGACTTTTCTTATGTTCATGTATGTTTCATGTGAAAGTAGTTCATGGTATCATGAGCAATAAATACTGAATCACAGGAGCATAAGGCTAGCTAAATTAAAAATATCCTGCTCATTTGGAATTTGTAGGTTAACCTAGGCAGGTATACTTTTGTATACCTGCATGACAGTATTTTCATGAGTGGAGCTGGCTGGAGGATGGCAAGGAGGGAAAACTGCCACAAAGTAAACAATATACAGGGCTGAGGAAATGGTTCGCTTCAGAAGGACTTTTTAAAAAACACTTTAACCTTAACTATTTGTATCCAAATAAATAATATGCAAATTGAAGATTATTCTTATTAATTAAATCATTCCAAAGTATCTCAATTTTGTATTCTCCTTACAGAATCTGAAAACCTTTCTCTGTGACATGACCCTAGAAATAGTTTATAACTAATGCAAAACTGATCCCTCTAACCATGTTCTCACCCTCCCCATTACAGTTACCCTGAATTAACGAAGTTTAGGTTAATAAAACATGTGTGTTTCTCTGGTTTAGGATGGTGTCACATTTTTATGGGAATGGAGATATTTGTGATATAACTGACAAACCAAGACAGGTCACTGTGAAACTAAAGTAAGTTGGACCATCAACTCATGCTTTGTGCTTCTCTTTTATCTGCTTCCAATGGGCAAAAGTTTATATAAATATAAAATATAATTGTGAGCCATTATATTTATGCATAATAATGTGTGGATTAATTTTATATAAAATTACTACTTTATTCTAAAATAGTAAAATTGGGGCATCTGGCTGGCTGAGTCAGTGGAGCATGCGACTCTTGATCTCAAGGTTGTGAGTTCAAGCCCCACATTGGTTGTAGAGATTAAAGAAAGAGAGAGAAAGAGAGAAAGAAACTTTAAAAGATATAGAAAGAAAATCGTTTTTAAAAATAAAACACTGGGGCGCCTCGGTGGCCAGCTCTTGGTTTCAGCTCAGGTCGTGATCTCAGGATCATTAGACTGAGCCCCACATCTGGCTCCATCCTTAGGGTGGAGTCTACTTGAGGTTCTCTCCCTCTACCCCTTCCCCCATTCACTCACATGCTCTCTCTATATATAATATAAATAAATTAAAATCTTTAAAAATAAATAAATATTAAAATTATTTTAATATAATTATATTATTTGTAAGTTATAATGATTTTTAAATTATATTATTTCAGTTATTATATTAAATTATACAGGATCACTTACATAAGATTTGTATAGCTTAAAAGGAAAACAATTAAAAATACTTTTGTACAGGGCACCTGGGTGGCTCATTTGGTCAAGCGTCTGACTCTTGATTTCAGCTCAGGCCCTGGTCACAGCGTCGTGAGATCAAGGCCCACGTCAGGCTCCAGGCTTAGCTCGGAGTCTGCTTGGGATTCTCTCTCCCTCTCCCTCTGCTCCTTCTCACCCCCCCACCCCGTCCCAACTTATACATGTGTGCGCATGCACACGCTCTCCCTCTCTCTCAGTTAATTAATTAATTAAGCCTTTCTAAAAATAAAAATACTTTTGTGTGGTTTGGGCAGTACTTTAAAGTGCTCTCTGTTTCAGGTGTAAAGAATCAGATTCTCCTCATGCTGTTACTGTATATATGCTAGAGCCTCACTCCTGTCAGTATATCCTTGGGGTAAGTAAAAAAATAATACTCAGGGGGCGCCTGGGTGTCTCAGTCGGTTAAGCGACTGCCTTCGGCTCAGGTCATGATCCCAGGGTCCTGCTCAGCGGGAAGCCTGCTTCTCCCTCTACCTCTCCCCCTGCTTGTGTTCCCTTTCTCGCTGTGTCTCTCTCTCTCTCAAATAAATAAATAAATAATCTTAAAAAAAAATAATAATACTCAGGAATTCAGTTTGAAAACATGTTTCAATTTTTAGCATTGAGTCTTGAAAAGAGCTTCAGTAATCTCCAAATTTTAATATAGCCCTCATACTATCTCTGTAAAAGCTATAATCTTTTTTATTGAGGTACAATTTATAAAAAATAAAATGCAGAGATCTTAAGTGTTGAGTTTGATATATTTTGATAATTTTATATACCCATGGAACTATCACCCAAAACAAGGTATCTATCACTGCAGAAAAATTTTTTATACCCCTTTTATGTCAATACCCCAACCCCCACAGATACCCCTTTCTGCTTTCTGACATCATAGAGTAGTTTTGCCTGTTTTTTGATTCCACATGAATGGGATCATATAGTATATAGTTTTTTATGCCTGCCCTCTTTGACTTGGCATGTTTTTCAGACTCACCCATGTCACTCCAGTATTTCATTCTCTTTTTATTAATGAATAGTATTCATTTGTATAAGTATACCACACTTGCTTATCCATTCTTCTATATAGACATTTAGGTTGTTTCTCATTTTTTATTATGTGAATAAGGCTGCTATGAACATTTTCTTTTATACGTCGTTTTGTGATCACGTATTTTCTTTCCTTTGGGTAAGTACCTAGGTGTGGAATTGCTGAATCATAGATTAGATATATGTTTAGCTTTTATCAAATAGTTATCCAAATGGTTGTACCATTTTACATTCCTACCAGTAATATATGAGAGTCCAGTTGCTCTACATCTTCCCCAACGTTTGGTATTGTAAGTCTTTTTTCTTTTAACCACTTTATTTTTTTTTAAGATTTTATTTATTTATTTATTTGTTTGTTTGTTTGACAGAGAGAGAGGGAACACAAGCAGGGGGAGTGGGAGAGGGAGAAGCAGGCTTCCGCTGAGCAGAGAGCCTGATGCGGGGCTCGATCCCAGGACCCTGGGATCATGACCTGAGCCGAAGGCAGACGCTTAACGACTGAGCCACCCAGGCGCCCCTCTTTTAGCCACTTTAGTCATTTTAGTGTGTGTTTCCCATATGGAAAATGGTGATGAGCACCTTTTCATGTGATGATTCATTCATAGATCTTTGTGAAGTATCTAGCCAAGTTTTTTTTAATGAAAAATTATTCTGACACTTACTGAAACAGTGTTTATTCAGGACTGTTGGCAATAAGTGTGTCAAGACTTTCACAATAGGAGAGAGAGATCCAGCTTAACTCTACATGTGGCAAAGACAGCTGGGGACGTACAGCCAATGAGCAGAAGGTGGCAGGGTTGGGGGTGGCGCAATGGATGGAAAATTACTAAGAGGAGACATCAACTTAACTGACTTGACAGGATTATTGCTGAAGGCAGGCCAGGATAATCAGCTATCAAAGGTGAGAAATGAGGAATTTGATCCGATATGGGATGGATGATTAGTTGTTGAGGCTAAGGGGTTCTCTCTACACTGACTTATCAGGATTCTTGCGACAGCTGGACTCAGCAGGCCCAAGACAGGGCACAAATACAAGAAGAGGCCTAGTTGAAAAAAGGAATTAGGGAACCTGACTTCAGTTTGGTCGAGGAGACTCTGTCATCTGTTAGTCTTTTACCCATTTTTATTGTTTTGTTTGTCTTCTTATTTCTAGGAGTTCAAATATATTCTGGATATGAGTTATTTTATTTTTTATATTTTTATATTTATCATATCTGGATATGAGTTCTTAATTTATAGTGCATACTTTTTTTCCTCAATCTGTGGCTTACCTATTTATTTTCCTAATGTCTTTTGATGAGCAAAAGTTTATTTGATAAAGTTTATTTTAATCAGTTTTTCCCTTTTATGGCTAATGCTTTATTTTGTTCTAAGAAATGCTGCCACCCAAAGTCATGAAAATATTATCCTGTATTTCTATCTAGGAACTTCATGGTCCTGCCTTTGGTTATATGATGCCTAGTAGTGGCTTTCTCTGTATGTTTCCTGATCAGAGTTCACAGAGCTTTTTGCATTTATGGGTTGATATTATTCATCAACTTTTGAAAAACTTTACATGTTTGTGAATATACATTTAACAAATTTATACACATGTATTCATACAGAAGAACACTAAATAAAGAAAGTATTCAGTTTAGCAACTTTTTAATGGCTTTATTGTTTTTGTTCTTTAGGTTGAATCTCCAGTGATCTGTAAAATCTTAGATACAGCAGATGAAAATGGACTTCTTTCTCTCCCCAACTAAAGGATAATAAAGTTTGGGGAAAGAAAAGATCATTGACAGTCATGATTTCTGTCTGACCATGTGTCTCACTGTAGAGTTCCCAGCCGTTGAACCTCATCTGAAGGATCGTATAAAAGGACTCTCAACCACTTTGTGAATATGTATGTGTATATAAGAGGTTATTGATAAACTTCTAAGGCAGATAATTGTCTCACTTCTTTCATTTCTCTTGTGTCCCATGAACTGATTGTGTTTTTTGCTTGGATAATGTGATTCCAAAATAAATCTAATCCAAGCAATTTAGAGTCCAGCCTAATGAAATGTCATAATTGTACCTATTGGAAGTTTTTAATAGATTTATTATGTAAATTATAGTATATATAACTAGTTAATGAAGTAAAGGTAATGAAGAAGGAAACTGATAGGAGGTTGTTTAAATGGGAGACCATGTAAAATATGTAAATTCTAGTGCCTGAAATCCTTTCAACAAATTTTTATTTAGCAACTGCTCTCTACCAGGTGTTAAGCTAGAAACTGGGCACATGGTAGAGCCTCACAACATTTAAGTTTTCTTCACTTCTGTTAATCTCAAGAAACTCTTACTTGTAATAGGTAGTTTCTCTCTTGGAACTTTTATCTATTTCTTTCTCCTTGATGTGAATGTGTTTTCCCCCAAGGTGTGTACCTGCTGTAGACAGAGATTCCTCCCTCTTGACTTAGAATGGTTTCCTCCAACAAAACACACTCTGCTGCAGCCATTCTTTGTACCTCCCTACTGTATGCTACAGATTTTAGTTCTGGGCAGTTTTACAGCACAGTATTTATTTTAAAGTGAATAAAATGTTCACAAGCAGTGTTGTCATGTACTCAATGGTAGATTATTCATTTCCTTTATTTTCTCCATTACCGTGTTGCACAGAACATTATCCTGTTGTATTTTGGATGTGCGTATCTAAACAAGGACAGAAAAGTGGCTATAAAATACTTGACTTTTCCTCCTTTTCAGTAGTTCTGGCCAAAGATATTTTAGTTTGAGAAATGGTTAATGCAATTGATTATTGCAAGGCTCTTTGTAGATTTTAGTACAAAGCAGTGCATTATATAAAGAGCACAGACATTGCATTCACACCAAAGTCCAGATACTCTCTTTAACTTACTAGCTGTGTGATCCTGCATAGATCATTTAACCATTTTCAGCCTCACCTCCTCTGGTAGAGAGACTACTTACTTTAGAAGGTAGTTGTAGCAGTGCATTAATTTCACTGTAAGTAAAAAGCCTAGGCCCAATACTGGGTACCAGGTTCCCAGTAAGAGTTAGTTTATTTCCTAATATTGCCCTTGTCTCCTATTAATATAATAAGATCAGAAACCAAAGCCATTAAAATTTATTTCTTTAGGGGCGCCTGGGTGGCTCAGTCAGTTAAGCGTCCAATTCTTAATTTCAGCTCACATTTTGATCTCAGGGTTATGGGATTGAGCACCACCCCCCCGCCCCTTCTCATGTACTCTCTCTCTCTCTAATAAATAAATCTTTAAAAACAAAAGATTCTCTCCCTCTCTCCTCCCCCGTCTTGCATGCTCTCTCTAAACAGAAAAAAAAATTTATTTCTTTAATAAATTCTAAAATCATACTTCTTATATCAATGAATTAAGACAAACAGAATTACCCACATCTAGATTTATAGGTATAAGAAGGGAGGGAGTGAGAATTGTGAAAGGTTAGTGCCAGCAGATACTTTTAGAATATTTAGGTCAAATTCTTCTCTTAAAAAGGGGAAGGGGGGAGAGAAAAATCTAAAAAACTGTATTGGATAGTTTACTGCGGAAGATTCTTAAAAACAGAAGTTGTAATTATTTCAAAATAAAAGGTTAAAAAAAGTAAGTCAGCTTTCTGTTTGGCTAACAGCTTGAACTTCTTAGAAGGAAGGGCTGGGCCAGCTCTCTCCATCTTCCTTCTGAATCTTGGGTCCCTTACCAGTGGTCTGGGAAATCTCCTTTGAGCTCTGAACTGTGTGCTGCCACCTCTGCTGGGCAGGCGGCCTCTCTTCTGTAGCCGTAGCCGAGTTCCTAATAGGGAGGGGAAAGGGCTCAGCTGTAATACGCCTGGTGCACTTGGAGAAGTCTGTTAAGGTGGGTGCTGTCCCAGAGCTGCCTGATCAGATCCGTTAGGGCAGAGTATATCCTGGATTTTAAATATGCTTCCTGAGTGATCCTCTTTATTTTAAATATATTCTTCCAGTGAGAATCGCTAACTTAGGAACTTCATTTCTAACAATTTCACACATTCTAACCCTCCTGATTAGGGTTTCAGGAAAATAACTAGTAGCTCATCTTTACCGGAAGATTGGGACACGACTTACCTTTTTTTAGCTCTACCTGCCTTTCTTCAAGTCACCACTAGATGGGGCCTCTGCCCAGCTCTAGTTTATATCCTTAAGTCCTTGCTGAAAGCAACTTTGGCAACAAAGGGCAACAAATTACCTCAGTTACCTGAATAGTAAGCTCTGTGTACAGCCCCTGGTGAACAATACTTCTCCTCAGTCTGATCTACAAAGGCCTGACCTGATTTCTGACAATTCTTAAACTTCCTACTACACAATCAGGCCAAATTGTTGACCTAGTAGCACCAAAGATCTAACATAAAAGGGCTTAAGTTAAACAGGAAAATGAAAATCAAGACTTAAATTTTGAATAAATAGGACATGAAATCACAGTTTCGAATGAAAATAAAGGGGCGCCTAGGTGGCTTAGTCGTTAAGCGTCTGCCTTCAGCTCAGGTCATGATCCCAGGGTCCTGGGATCGAGCCCCGCATCGGGTTCCCTGCTCGGCTGGAGTCTGTCTGCTTCTCCCTCTGCTGCTCCCCCTACTTGTGTTCCTGCTCTCGCTGTCTCTCTCTCTGTCAAATAAATAAAATCTTTTTATGAAAAAATGAAAATAAAATATCAGCTACCCTAGGATCTGATTTTAAATTCCCTTCCTAGTTTAAGTTGTTGAAGTAAAAGTTTTCAAAATATGTTGCCATGGTGACATGGCTTAAGGAAATATCCATTTCTCCATTTCTTTTTTTCAGTTGTTTCACAGGGGTAGTAGAGGAACCAGGGCCAACTACATACCCAGTGGCACGCTTTGTTTCAGACGCCAGTAGTCTTAAAGTAGGTTGTACAAGCAGGCAAGATGATCCAATGCATTATGGGGAAAAAATACTAGAAATTCTATAAAATTTCATCTGTGAAAAAGGAATTAAGCTTTTTTTATTTAATATTTAATGGGTGAACTTACAGTAGTATACAGAGTCATTCATAAATCAGGTTTTGTTTAATAGAACATCAAACGACTCAAGGGAAGGATAAGCATTACATGTGTAGAGGAGGTGATAGAGATACCGTCATTATTTACTTCCACCATATACAGCATTGTAGGTTAAATTAATGCCTCCATCACCTTTCAGAAAATGGAATTGTCACTTTAAATATTAGCATCAAGACCATGCATTATTAGGTATATAACCAATCAGAATTAAGGTGAGAGGTTAACAGGTTACTTTCACCTGCGTCGTGGCTCTAATCACTGTGGTCCTGGTATCTCACAAGGCCTCTCTAGTAGAAATAACAGGGGTTTTTTTTAATGCTTCTTTGCAGTGTCAGGAAGAATGAGCATGCTTTCCTCACTGGCAGTTAGAAGAAACTACAGTATGAAGACTACTGGAATTCCATTCTTTTTTTTTTTTTTTTTTTAAGATTTTATTTATTTATTTGAGAGAGAGAATGAGAGACAGAGAGCATGAGAGGGAGGAGGGTCAGAGGGAGAAGCAGACCCCCTGCCGAGCAGGAAGCCCGATGCGGGACTCGATCCCGGGACTCCAGGATCATGACCTGAGCCGAAGGCAGTCGCTTAACCAACTGAGCCACCCAGGCGCCCCTGGAATTCCATTCTTTCTTTAACACTTAGAGAAAATAAAAAACAAAAAACTCTGACAATCTCAAAACTCAAAAGAAGAAAGGCAAAATTACTAACAAATGGAATATAGGGCTTATAGTGTTTTGTGTCCATACCTATTTGTAAATTTTTAAGCTGAATTTTAGTCTTTTTTACATTTGAAACAAAAAGTGTTCACCAAAAGCAAGTAAATCTAGCAGAACTTATGGAAATGGTAACCATCTCAACTATGGAAGACATTTATGAGACTGTAAAATAATACTAAACATCTCATCTAATCACATACAACAGTATGTATTTCAAATCTATTAAATTGCTTTCCGGTACTTTTCAAGAGAGTACATTGTACTTTGCCTTGAATTTAAGAAAAAAATAGTTTCCTGTGGAGCCTGGGTGGCTCAGTCATTGGGCATTTGCCTTCGGCTCAGGTCATGATCCCAGGGTCCTGGGATCGAGCTCCCGCATCAGGCTCCCTGCTCAGTGTGAAGCCCTCTTCTCCCTCTCTCTCTGTATCTATCTCTCTCTGTCAAATAAATAAATCTTTAAAAAAAAGAAAAAATACAGTTTCCTGTATAATACATAATTTTGATTTTGTAAATCTGTAATATTAAAGGTCAAACTCTCAGGGGAGTGAGAGATCCAGGCTTCCAGGTAAAGGATAAGTCACGGGGATGAAAGGCACAGCATAGGGAATATAGTCAGTGGTGTAATAGCATTGTATGGTGACTGATGATAGCCATGCTTGTGGTGAGCAGAGCATAATGTATAGAGTTGTCAAATCATTATGCTGTGCACATGAAACCAATGCCACATTGTGTGTCAGCTATATTTCAGTTAAAAAACAAAAGTGCGGGACACCTGGGTGGCTCAGTTGGTTAGGCATCTGCCTTCAGCTAAGGTGGTGATCCCAGAGTCCTGCGATCAAGCCCTGCATCAGGCTCCCTGCTCAGCCGGAAGCCTGCTTCTTCCTCTCCCTCTCCCTGCCACTCCCCCTGCTTGTGCTCTCTCTGACAAATAAATAAAATATTTAAAAAAAAAAAAAAAGTGCTCTACCACCAAAAATAAATTTTTTCCAAAAATCCTTGGAAGTCCAGCAACTTAAGGTTTAAAACCCAATTAGTCAAATCTACTCTTCTCTCTAAATTCACTCAAAATATAGCCCCAAATAGCAAACTTTGTTAGGTTCTAATAGCTTCTATGTTCTCAATAAAATACTAGTTTGCAAATTAGTCACCAGTGGTCCTTAATAACAGTAAAAGCAAATTTACACATTGAGAATTTTTTTTTTAAGATTTACTTATAGAGAGAGCAAGCACAAGCAGGGGAGGGGCAGAAGGAGAGGGAAAGAGAGAAAGAACCTCAAGCGGCTTCCCCACTGAGCACAGAGCCCCAATGCAGGGCTGGATCTCACGACCCTGAGATCAGGACACGCCAGCCAAAACCAAGAGTTGGACACTAAACCAACTGAGCCATCGAGGTGCCCCATAATTTACTCATTTAAGAATTTTATCAGAGCTCTAAATATTACCCATAGATTTGAAATGTTAATAGCTGGTCAAGGAAATCAGGAGTCATTTTCCCCCTGGATTAGTTTTTTTTGTCGTTTTTTTTTTTTTAAAGATTTTATTTACTTATTTATTTTAGAAAGAGCATGAGCAGAAGGAGGGGCAGAAGGAGAGGGAGAGAATCTCAAGTGGACCCTGCATTGAGCGTGGAACCCAAGAGGGGGCTCATTCTCACGACCCGTGATCATGACCTGAGCTGAAACCAAGAGTCGGTCACTTAAATGACTGAACCACCCAGGAGCCCCACCCCCTGGATTAGTTTTTGTATTTATAGGTTTTAGTGTTCTTAAGCCATAGTGACAGAAATCATTTGTTGGAAAAGCTTTTGTTAACCACCTCCAAGAAAGCGTTTCACCCCCAAAAA